TTCATCAAAGTTACCACAGCATAGGGGGTCTTTATATTCAGGTTTTGCCCAAGGGTTAATTTATCTGCTTCTTATGCTAACAGGGTCATTGCTGCCAGGGCCCTTAGACATGGGGGCCAGGCTTTGGAAACCCCATCTCGTTTTGAGAGATAGGCCACTGACCTTGGCCAGGGCCCCACAGTCTGGGTTAAAACTCCAACTGCCATTTTTTCTCTTTCTGACACATAGAATATAAAGGGTTTTGTCAGGTCAAGTAGCCCTGGGGCTGCGGCCAACATGAGTTTTTCTTTTAACTCATGCAAAGCTTGTTGCTGTTGGTTGTAATAGATGTAGTTTATCCAATTTACATTTTTATTAACTATCACCCACCAAAATATTGACTCAAATCCTGCAGCCATTTGTTTTCAAGCTTTAAATTGATCTGGTATTCCCCATGGGACTCCAATTGCATCTAAATAGATGTGAGAGTCAAAAGACCCATAAGGGACTTCTCTCGCTTTACAATGTCTTATTTTTCCTCTCTCTGGTTGATGAAATGCCAGGGTGAAAGGGACAGCCAATTGGACTAAAGTACAAGTGCCACTCCAGTTGTTCAGCAGAGTGCCCAGTAAAGGTCCACCACAATACCACCACACATCTGCTCGGCAATGAGCAAGGGACTGACTGATTGATGTGCTCTTGAAAATTCTTAAGCTTACTGAATCCCTTCAGGTCTCCAAGGAACTCTAAGTTTCCTCCCTATCATGAAAGACACGAAGTGAACTTAGTGTGGGGAGATGGAAGCTTGATGGCCCTCATGGGCTGATCCTCAGGGTGGCAGACTTTGGGATATAGCAGAGAGAGCTTGGCACAACTTATTACTCCAGGCTGTAGAATCCTGGAAAAGAGCTACCATGCAGCCCACGCCTGGTCAACTGGGAGGACCACCTCAGTGGAAAAGGGACAATCTGGGCCTCCAGCCTGCCATGTGCACAAGCAAAACAATTGCTTTTGTTTAACTTGCAGATGGAATATTTGATCCATTTCAACCAGGCGTTTACATCTTGGTATCCTGTCTTTATTGCCAAAGTTTGTTTTAAGTCTTTAACTTCTATGATCCTCTAGTAAAATGAATGCATGATTTTAAGAAATTACAAAAACCGGTTGAGGCAGCCCATCCTTGCTCTTTAGGGGTCCACAGAACGTTGGACCAACTACAGCATAAAAGCTCTACATTGGGGGGCAAGACTCCTGGTTGACACTGGAGACTTTATCAAAATTTCCCTGGATTAAATGGTCCTAATTTACTAGTGCCCAGTCTGAGGAGAGTCAGGAGGGACAGAGGTACTTTTCTGAAGTAGAGAGCTGTCTTTGACTTGACAAGTCCCTACAGGGTATAACAAGGCAAGCATTAAATGCAATGGTTTGAGGTGAAATTGACTTGGTTATGTTAATAACTAGATGGTCAGCAATAGAACAAGCAAAGGAGAAAGAGTAATAGAATAGATGAAAGAGTTAAATTCTTCCTAGCTTTAGTTTGGTAGGGTTTTCCCAGGACTATGGCCCATGACGCTGGAGAGGGTGGTGCTTTCTTGACTTGGGTGTGATAAGCCCATCTTTTTTTTGCTGTATGAACAGCAGTCTCAGTGGTTAGCAGCACAAGGTAGGGTCCTTCCTAGGTTGGCTCAAATTTCCTTTTCTTCACCCTTTGATGAGAATGTGATCTTCAGCCTGGTGCTGGTTTACCGGAAATTCTAGGGGTGGTACATGTGCTAAAAGACTTTTAGTTTTGAGGGAAAGGAAAGTGGAAGATAAACCAAGTACATAATTTTTAAGAAATTGACCTTCTGTTTTAAATGTGGGGACATCAGTAGTGGACTTTATAGTCCTTGGTGCCTTTCTACTGAGAAATTTCCTTTAGCACCTATTTTTATTAGTTTTCAGACCAAAAAAGTCAAACACCATTTCATATTTGACAACATTTCCTGTATGATTTTTATACCAGATAAGCTAAATTTCACCTTTATATTAGTGTGTTATTAATGTTAAACTTAGTTTTAATAAAACTTTGTAGACATATTTATTCAAATTTTAATGTCAGGCCATAAGGTAAGATTTTTATAGACTCGTTTTAACCTTTTATAATCTTGTTAAAGGGCAGGTTAGTGCTTTAAGAAAAACCCATTGTGTTTTTATTTTAACGTTCAGTTCACAGAAAAACTGGATGATACCCCTTTAACTTTAGCTAGCATGTTTACACACAGAATTTTTTTTTTACAATTAATGTTTTAAAACTTGCTTAAACCTTCAAAACACATTTTTAAAATCCTTTTAATGTAGGCAAAAATTTACATTCTTATGCCTCCTTATAATCCTTTTACCAAAGGTATATTTTACTTTCCTTATACACCTTGCACATAAACTATTTTTTCAATAGTTTTACATTCAGGAGGCCTAGTTACTTTTAAATTACACAACATTTCTTGAATAATTTTTTTTATAACTTTTTTTTCTCTTTAATGACTTTTGCAGACAATTCTTCTACCTGCCTCAACTTTCAGACAAACATTTCTTTCTTAAACAGTTAATTTATTTCAGGACGAGAATTTACCCTATAACATTCTTTTTACATAAATTCTGCCCCCTCTTTCCCCCCTTTTATTTTTGAAGATAAACATTCTTTTCCAAAGTGAACTTCCTTTATGTCTGTCAACTAGACTGTCTAAGGCCACAAGATTAGAAGTTACTATAATACATGTTACACTGTTAACTTTTAGCAAACTTTATTTTTATTGAAAACCTTGTAAGTTTGGGATTTCAATTGTCCTTTGCTCTTTGCTATTAATAAGACCTTGTTTAGTCCAAATTAATTTAGAATTGGAATAGATGGCTTTTTTTTTTTCCTTCAGTTACCTGGGAGGAACCATCTATCATCCTGTCCTGAAGGGAGTTCCTCTTAGGTCTGGTTGGACCTTTGTATGGTAATTAAGATTTAGATCTCCTGTTAGAAAACCTGCTGGGTTAAGGGAATTCTCAGTGGTTAATGTTAAATCATATTTTTTTTTTTCCCCCTTAGGATACTTCTGAACTGGTGAGGTGTACTCACAATGAGGTTTCTTCTAAAAGTTATTTTTATACTTTCTTCTGTTAGCAAAGCAGTTGCCACTACAAATAGAATGCATTTGGGCCATCTGTGGGTTACTGGGTTAAACATTTTTGATAGGAAGACTACAGGTTGTCAGTGGCCTCACTGCTTTTGGGCTATGCCCTTGTTTACACTTACAACAAGGTTGTATTGGAGTGTTGTAGGGTCATGGAGAAGACCTTCAATTGTCAAATATAGGTTTTAAATTTACCCTGGCTTTTAAAGGAATAGGGTACACTTTTTTTTTTTTAAATTACTTGTGTATTTCTCTCTTTTCTTTCTTTGACTTTCTGTCTCTCTCTCTTTTTGACTTTCCTTTTGCCTCTGTCTCTGTCTCTCTCTCTCTCTTTTTCTTCTTGACTCCCTCTTTGTCTCTCTGTCTCTTCCTCTCTCTCTTTGCCTCTTTTCCTCTCTGTCTCTTTCCTCTCTCTCTCTCTGTTGGTCTTTCCCTGCCTCTGCCAGTCACTTATGTTGCTGTTCTCTCAACAACTGTGGGGCCAGGGGCAGGGAGTCTAAAACCAGCTATAACCAAGAGTCTATGTACGGGAACTGGTCTGGGTGCCCTGGCTTACAGGTTACCTTGTGCCATACCTTTGAAATGAGGTACCTGTCCAGGCTTCCTTCTGATGGCCAACCCACCTCTAATGCTGGCCAGTCTATTTCACACAAAGTTTTAAGTTTTCCTGGTGTCACAGTAACACCATAATCTCACTTAAATTCTTTCTTGAAATTTTTCAACATAGTTCCTAGTGGGGTGGGCTTACTTTGTGCCTGACCCATGCTTCCTCAAGACAAAACATCATGCTCACAGCACACGCACACCACAAAACAAAGAACAGGTACAAAGGGCACACACACACTTTTACAGTTTACACCTAACCAGAATCAAAACCAAAATCAGAGTATCAAGAAATCCAAGCCAGGTCAAAACCAAAACCAAAGTATCAAGCAATCCAAGTCAAGTCAAAAACAAAAACCAAAGTGCCAGTACAGGCATGTCGTGGGTGATCAGGCCATGCTTCCACTCACATGGAGTGGGCAAGTTCCAAAGACTAATCTTACCAAGTTTCAGATGTCCGGACTTCAAATGCCACTTCCTTCCAGGTGTTCAGCCATTGCGTTGATCCTCCACAGGGGTCTGCCATGCGTTGCTCTGGTGAGGTGTTCCACTGGGGCAATTGCCTACCCAGGAGCACTCTCAGGATCCGTGTCACTCAAGCTGGCCAGAGTCCCCCACAGGGATGCTCCACAGGCAGGCCTAAGCTACCTAAGGGGCTGTCTCAACTGTCTGTTAATCACCTCACTTCCCGGTCAGGGAACCAAGAAAGGCAGCAGGACAAACCACAGACAAAACCCCTCAGACACTGAGTTAAAGAAGGAAGGGCTTTATTTGGATAGGAGCTTCAGCAAGACTCATGTCTCCAAAAACCGAGCTCCCTGAGTGAGCAATTCCTGTCCCTTTTAAGGGCTTACAACTCTAAGGGGGTCTGCGTGAGAGGGTCATGATCGATTGAGCGAGCAGGAGGTATGTGACTGGGGGCTGCATGCACTGGTAATTAGAACGGAACAGAACAGGACAGAGATTTTCACAATGCTTTTCCATACAATGTCTGGAATCTATAGATAACATAACCGGTTAGGTCAGGGGTTGATCTTTAACAAGGCCCAGGGTGTAGGGTCGGGCTGTCTGCCTGTGGATTTCATTTCTGCCTTTTAGTTTTTACTTCTTCTTTCTTTGGAGGCAGAAATTGGGCATAAGACAGGGGTAGTCTCCTCCTTTATGAGCACAAAACACAGATGGGCCTCTTCTCAATCTAGGTCAGGATCATACTGACCCTAGACCTGTAGTCACCTTGTTTTTCTATTTTGATAGATGTTAAGGCTCAGAGCATCTTAAGCTAACACTTGGTCTTAGTATATCTTCTGTTCTCTTTGATTTGTCTTAGGAATGTTCCTTAGCCAGAGGTTTATGTGAGTGTTTTTTTTTTTTTTCCGGGTTGATTTCAGCTATTTGAACAATTGATTCAAACTAGTGTGTGAACCTCTTCTCATGAATGGTCAAATAGCCCACAGTAGAAGCAGGTTCTTCCAAATTTGAAATATTTGCTTCCTTTAAAATCTCTAGCATAATTCTCATTTTTGGTCTTCAGGGAATGGTTCCTAGAGTTCTTAGCTCAGCTGTCTATCAGAGACAGATGATATACCATGAGTTCAAGGAGTCTCTGACTGTTGCCTCTTTTAATTATTTCTCTGCAATGGAAAGTAAAAAGTCTATTATTAGGTGACAACTGATTCAGGTAATCAGTTGGATGCTAAACTATCCCATACACAACAGGAAACTTACATGGTCTCAACTTATCCAATCACAAATTCCCAATTAATTATAAAAGGAAAACTAGTAACTCTATAGTGGAGAAACCTGGCAGACAGCACCTTAATTGAGTGATCAAAGTTAACATCACCAATAATGGAACTGGGTGGAGAAAACTCAAACGGTTTTTTCTCTGCTCTCACACTACAACAACACGGAATATTTCTGTGACCAGATGTGTGGGTTCCCCCTCTCCCTGCCACACCAAGCATTTCTGTAGCAGACACCAGCTGAATATCCTCTAATTCAATTCAATTCATTTCTGACAGTATCTCCCTGGAGATCCCATGATTGAGGACTCAGTCTCCAAGACAGCCTCCCACTCCCCACTTCAAATGCCAATCTCAAGTCCTAGGTTGTTTTACCTGTGCTTCTGACAATTGGCTATAAATTGGGGTCTCGCAACTGACTCCTCAGGTTTGATTAATTTGCTAGAGCAGCTCACATAACTCAGGGAAACATTTACATTTACTAGTTCACCATAAAAGATATTACAAAGGACACAGATAAGGAGATGCATAGGCTGAGGCATGGAAGGGGGTGTGAGTGCCCTCCCCAGATGAGCCATCCTCCAGGAATCTTTATGGTTTTGGCTACCTGAAAGCTCTCTGAACCCAGTCCTTTTGGGTTTTTATGGGAGCTTCATCATATAGGCACAATTGGTTAAATCATTGGCCTTTAATGATCAACTTAACTTTCCTCTACCCTCCTCAGAGGTTGGGGACAGGCTGGGCTGAAAGTCTCAACCTCCTAATCCTGCCTTGGTTTTTGTAGTGACCAGTGCCCGTCCTGAAGCTACCTAGAAGCTGCCAACCATCAGTCAATCATTAGCATACAAAAATACTTTGGGGATTCTAAGGATTTTAGTAGTTGTATGGGTTGGAGACCAAATAAAGCATATATTTTATAATATTACAGTGACAAATAGTCATCATGTAATGAGAAATACTGCTAAGAACAACATGACGTTCATAGAGTATTCCAGCCAAAGATACACAACCTTAATGAAACCATGAAGAAAGAAAGCTCAAATAAATCTAGAGGGAGGGGTGGAGCAAAATGGCTGAATATAATCCTCCACCGATCATTTTCCCAACAGGAACACCAAATTTGACAACTATTGACACAAAAAACACTTTCATAAAAAACTGAAGTCAGGTGAGCAATCAATACCTAGTTTTAACTTCGTATCACTGAAAGAGCCACTGAAGGGGGTAGGAAAAGCAGTCTTCAATCACTGATGTCACCCCTCCCCAGTCTCCTGGCAGTAGCTTTGTGGCAAGGAGAGAGAATCTGTGCTCTTAGGGGAGGGAAAGCACATTGAATTCAGTGTTGTCCTGCCACAGTAGAAAGCAAAACTGGGCTGAACTCAGCTGAAGCCTACCTATGGAGGGGACATTTAGACCAGCCCTAGCCAGAGGGGAATTGCCCATCCCAGCAGTTGGAATCTAGTTCCAGCAAGCCCTGCCACTGTTGGCAAAAGTGCTCTGGGACTGTAAATAAACGTGAAGGGCAGTCTGAGTCATTGGGACTGCAGTTCCTAGGCAGGTCATAGTGCTGAGCTGGACATGGAGCTAGCAGACTTGGAGGGCATACAACCTACTGGGACACCAGCCAGGGTGGCTAACGGAGTGCTTACATCTCTTCTCCCCCAACCCCAGGTAGCACAGTTCTCAGCAAAGAAAGTGAGTCCTTTCTTCTGCTTGAGGAGAGGAGAAAGAAGAGGAAAGAGGACTTTGTCTTGCATTTTGGACACCAGTTCAGTCCTAGCAAAATAGGGCATTGAGCAGAGTTGCGAGGCCCTCATTCTAAGCCCTATCTCCTAGATGACATTGCCAGATGAGACCCTGGGCCAGAAGGGAACCTTAGGCCTTGAAAAGAAAGACCCAGTCCTGGCAGGATTCATCTTCTGCTGACTAAAGAGCCCTTGCACCCTGAATAACCAGCAGTGATAACTAGGGAGTATGCCATGTGCCTTGGGCTCTGAGACATGCTGGCTTCCGTGGTGACCTAGCACATTCCCAGCTGTGGTGGCTACAGTGAAAGACTCATTCTGTTTGAGAAAAGCAGAAGGAAAAGTAAAGTGGACTTTGTCTTGCACCCTAGATACCAGCTCAACCACAAAGGAGTAAGAAGCAGGCTTCTGGGGTCCCTGCATCTAGGCCTAGGCTCCTGGACAGCATTTATGGACCTTCCCTGGGCCAGAGGGAAGCCCACTGACCTAAAGGGTGAGTCCCAGGCCAGGTAGCATTCATCACAGGTTAACCAAAGATAACCCTTGGGCCTTAAGGGGACATGGGTGGTAGTCTCCTCCAATCAGTTGCAGGCTTTAAGAGAAAAAGACAGAGGTACATCAAAGAAGAGAGAATTCTGGTAGCAGACTGCCTTTGGACTCTAATTATTCCTTGCCACTCTTCCCTGAGTCTCTAGCCTGCTTGTCTACCCTGCAGATTTTGGAGGTAATAACCCCCACAACTGTGTAGGCCAATGCCTCACAATAAATCTTTCTCTCTCTCGACACAGACACAGACACACACACAGACACACACACACACACACACACACCTATTGCTTTTGTTTCTAGAGAAACCTGACTTACATAGTTCTCTCAACAGGAATAGTCTTGCCAGCAAGACAAATGGACATGCCCAGTGCTTAGTTTGGCTTACCTTGGTGATTCCTCTTCTAGTCTACTTCCATGGCCAATCAGTATCTCCCTCTCCTTTATCTGGATACATTCATTCATCAACTGTGTTAATATAGTCAATAAGGAATAGTCAACTCTTGCTTACTTGTCTTGGCAGGAACTCTGTCTTTTGAGTGACTTTGCCTATAAATTGATTATATGTAAGCACATAGTTTACCTCTTCAAGGACAATCTTGTTTACCCAATATTCAAATTCTTGTGAGACCATCACTGCAGCACTCTGTACTAATGACAGTAGAAACTAAATTAATGCTTTACTTATAGCTGCATTTGAGGTTGATACACCAGACATTTCCTAGACATCAATGGCTAGTCCAATTGTGTAAGATGATGTTTGGGAAATCTCTTAAGCATTGCTTTTCCTTGTAATTATTTCACTTGAGCTTAGGTGTCCTGCTGTTGTATTATTTCCATGTGCCTGCATTTGCATATTTCCATTGTGATAAACATCTGCACTCATCTTTACTTTATTTCCTCCAGTCTTAGAAAATGAAGTGTCCCTCCTACTGCTCAACCCACTGCCATTTGCCTTTTGTCTTTTCCCCACCTCAAGACTGAAATGATCTTTATTGAAATAGTGTATTAAAATTGCCAAATTCATTGTAGTCTTGTCAATCTTTATCTTACCAAATGTCTTTTTATTTCTGATTGTTGAACAAGCACTTCTCAGAGCTCTATCCTTTCTGCTCCTGGCTTCCCTGCCATTATTTATTCTAATTCTAACCACATATGCCGATAAGCCCTGGACAATTTTATTATTTTCCTTGATAGGCTCCTCCTCTTTTGCTGCCAAATCATTAATCATGATTTGTTTCTGTCTTCAGGCACTGCTTTTCTCTCTTTGTCTCCTCATGTCAGATGACCAGTAACATGGTTTTTATTTTATTTTTTTTGGGTGGGGGGAGACCATATTATTATGGATTTGAGTTTTATTATTACTCAAATCCATCTTCCTGAGCATTCGAGGATCGTAGTTTTTAAGGACAACTTGGTGTGTGACAGGAAGCCAGTGAACCAGGAGTGCTGATTGGTCAAGTTAGAAATGAAATCACAGGAAGTTTAAGCTGTCTTCTTGAACGGAGTCAGTTCCTGGTTGGGGGCCAGAAGATCACATGAGCCAGTTTATCAATCAATCTGGGTGGTGCCAGCTGATCCATCAATGGCAGGGTCTGCAAAAAAACCACAGGCACTGATCTTAGGAGCAGTTTACGGAGGGTCAGAGTCTTGTATCCTCCAGCTGCATGACTCCTAAATAATAACTTCTAATCTTGTGGCTAAATTTGATAATCCTACAAAGGCAGTCTAGTCCCGAGGCAAGAAGGGGGTTTATTTTGGGAAAGCGCTGTTACCATCTTCGTTTTAAACTATAAACTAAGTTCCTCCCAAAGTTAGTTCCACCTATGCCCAGAAATGAACAAGGACAGCTTAGAGATTAGAAGCAAGATGGAGTTGGTTAGGTTAGGTCTCTTTCAGTGTCTAAGTTACAATTTTGCAATGGCCATTTCAATCCCGCCCTGTGGGTTTTATAAAACTTTAACCTCAAGGTGTTTGCTAAAGAAGATGAAAAAAGGGCAAAGACTGCCTTAACTTCTTCCTGCTGATCAGGGCATAGTGGTGGTAGGCGCTGACCCCAAGGTAAGAGGAGTGGAACCTCTTTGCAACTGTCTGAGCACACTCACACAGGCCTGGCTGCGGTTCCAAGGCTTGCATGGCAAAAACGTTAGTATTGTCACCTATAGTTTTAGGACCACATTTAAGGCAGGTGCATACCATAGGATAAATAATGGGTATGAGGGTAAGGAGTGGAATTTCCAGGTTTAAAGTAAAGATTTGAAAGCATTAGTTAGGGGACTTTTAGCCCACAAAGAATTTAGGATTTATTCCAAACTGCAGGAAAAGAAAAGAAAATAAAAGGAAAAAAAAAAGAATAGCTAACAATATATATTATAACTTTTTTTTTGAAGCACAATTTTTCTCTCTCCAGTCCTCGCTTTTATTAAAAACAAGTCATGATAGGATTGATTCATTTGCAAACCAAACTTCAGTCTTATACTTGGCCTGATTATTTGCATAAAGTGCAGCAAGAATAATTATTTTTCACATAGGCTCTATTAATATTGGCTTTGCTGAAACTTTATTCTATAAGGAATCTCAGGTTGTACTTTTTTTTTTTTTTTTTTTTTGAGATGGAGTCTTTCTCTGTCAACCAGGCTGGAGTGCAGTGGCAGGATCTCAGCTCACCGCAACCTCCACCTCCCAGTTTCAAGCAATTCTCCTGTCTCAGCCTCCTGAGTAGCTGAGATTACAGGTGTGCACAACCAAGCCTGGTTAATTTTTGTATTTTTGTTTTAGTAGAGATGGGGTTTCACCATATTGGTCAGGCTGGTCTCGATCTCCTGACCTCAGGTGATCCACCCACCTCGGCCTCCCAAAGTGCTGGGATTACAAGCAAAAGCCACCATGCCTGACCAAAAAAAAAAAAAGTACTTTTTAAAAGCCTTGAAGCCCAGCTACAGACTTATCTATGCCTGAAAATGCCTGTGAACTCCTCACTTTAAGGTCCCAAGATAACCTGGGCCTTCTGGGCCTATCAGAAAGCGACATTCTTCACTTATCACAGGTCAGGAACCCTATACAGGGACTGCGTAGACAAGGCATGAGGCCAGTTTTCCTGAGGGGCTTTTGTTGGCTCTATAAGTCCACTTTGATTCCTTAAAGAATGAATAACATTTTAGTGAAAGCCTTGCTAAAATAACCAGTTTCTCCAATTGTGTCCTGTAAGTAAAGAAGACAGATTCTTATTGCACTTGTGCAAATAATTATACTGCCATAAGTTGACAATACTCATAGATAGTTTCTAAATCCTGGAAAAATCCGATAGAGAGAAAGCGATATGCTCCAAATTTTGTTCCCAGAAGTACACTTTACTCATTTGTTAAAAGTTGCAAATAGGTCAAAAGAAATAAGTTCTCTTGACTCTGAAAACAAAAGGATTAGCAATGTTTAAAACATCAGCTCTCCATGACAGTCCTAGAAGTTCCATTTATTTTCTCTATTCCAATAGCACAATATTTAAAGTTATCAGAGACCTGCACTTAGGGTCCTATATCTGATTATAAACTACCTTTTGAAAAGGACTAAAGCGAGACAAAATGTCTATGGATGACAAAAGTTTTAGGACAGCCACTATTAAAGCTACAATTGACTAAGAATTTTGGTTACTTCTGTGACATACAACAAATTTACATAACTATAGCTGTTAATAACATACACTAAATTATATCAAAATTATAGAAGTTTCCCATAATTTTGGAACACATTCGAATAACACATTTATACAAATACAGTCCAAATAAAGCCAAACACCATTTCATATTTGACAATGCTTCCTGTACAATTTTTATACCAAATAAGCCAAACATATCATTTTTGGAAGGTTACTAAGTCATGAGGATGGAGCCCTCATGAATGAGATTAGTAATCTTAAAAGAGGCCAGAGAGCTAGCTCTGTTTCTTTCCAATATGTGAGGATAAAATAAGAACTCAGCAGTCTGCAACCCGGAAGAGAGCTCGCATCAGAATTCCACCATGTTGGCACCCTGATCTCAGCTTGCAGCCTCCAGAACTAAGAAAAATAAATTTCCACTGTTGACAAGCCACCCTGTCTATGTCACTTTTTTATAGAAGCCTGAATAGACTAAGACACTAATAATGCTTCTATGCATCCTGGGAACTATAGTCTTCCCACTACCCTGTTGTTACAAGATCAGAGACAAGCAGCACCCAATGACAATACATACTAGGGGAATGAAGCTTTTCATGTATCACACTACTTTCACCCAAAATTCTGATGTGAAACTGTGCAAGACGATCCAATGGAGAGAGAAAACAATAGTAGACTATTTGTGTTAGCAGCTTTCATGCTGCTGATACCCGAGACTGGGTAATTTATAAAGAAAAATCACGGTGGAAGGTGAGAGGCACATTTTATATGGCAGCAGACAGGAGAATAAGAATCAAACAAAAGGGGAACCCCTTATAAAACCATTGGATCTTGTGAGATTTATTCACCACCACGAGAACAGTATGGGAGACACTGCCTCCATGATTCGATTATCTTCAATCATCTCCCACCGGGTCCCTCCCACAAAATGTGGGAATTATGGGAGCTACAGTTCAAGATGAGATTTGGATGAGGAAACCATATCAGCCAAACCATATCACTATTATTTATATTTATTTCTATATAAAAATATGAAATATATTAATCATTACTAGTATTTAGTCTACACAATTACTGTACTTTCCTTGTTTGCCTGCGTTTATCTGCAGAGTTGGCTGGATCATGAGGAAGACTGGGAACCCATTATATGGATGTTGAAAGCAGCACCCATTTTCATTCCTTCCCTTTTACAGAGCCACAGTGTACTGTGGTTTGCAAGTGTGCATTAAATGTAGTTATAAATTATATTTTTTTAACTTAAGCTTGCCCTTACAATACGCACACATGGCTTCAAAGTCAGTCAGAGAAGAGTAGGAAACAAAGACGTGTTCGTTTAGGAAGCAATGTAAAAAAATCTAGTAAAATAATGCAAATGATAGAGAGTATAAATGATAGTGCTGACAATTGGATCAGGGCTATAGAGACTACACTTAAGATATTATCTCCTAATTCAAAATAAAAGGGCAAAAAAATTAAAATGAAAAAGAAAACAAAGAGCAAAGAAATGACCAATTCATAATGGAAAAACCTGTGGAAAGCATTTAAACTCACTGTTAATAATTTTAAACTAAAATAAGACATAATGTTTGACCTATCGAGTTAGCAAAGATAAAACAAAATAAAAATATCTAGTTTTAGTAAGGCTGAAGACAACCAAAAATTTCATATAAAGTTTATTTTAGTATATATTGTTTTAAAAAATCTTTAGCGGGTAAGCGTTAAAAAGCACTATAAAACATCTATATTCCCTTGATTTAGCAAATTTTATAGCAAATCTTATTAGCAAAAATAACTTATCCTAAAGACTTAATCAGTGATATATATTAAAACAAAATCTTGGCCGGGTGCGGTGGCTCACGCTTGTAATCCCAGGACTTTGGGAGGCCGAGACGGACAGATCATGAGGTCAGGAGATCAAGACCATCCTAGCTAACACGTTGAAACCCCGTCTCTACTAGAAATACAAAAAAATTAGCCGGGCGTGGTGGCGGGTGCTTGTAGTCACAGCTACTCAGGAGGCTGAGGCAGGAGAATGGCATGAACCCGGGAGGCAGAGCTTGCAGTGAACCGAGATCACACCACTGTACAACAGCTTGGGCGACAGAGCAAGACTCTGTCTTAAAAAAAAAAAAAAAAAAAAAAAAAACTACAGTGACTTGCATGTCTAGTATTAGAGGATTAGTTAATTAAATCATGATACACCTATGCAATTGAACACTTTGCAGTTTGAGGCAGATTAAATATAGCTACAAATTCTTTGACACTCTTTTTTAAGAAGGGATGTAATTTCCTTCACCTTCAATATAGGTTGGCCTTAGTGACTTGGTTGACCAGTAAAATATGGAGGAAGCAATGTTCTCAGACTTTCAAGGTTGGATAAGAAGCCATTTAGATTTTGTCTGGATCCCTTGGAACACTTGTTCTTTGAGTCTGACTGCCATGTAATAAGTACCTGAGATTGTGATGCTGAAGAGGCTGTATGGGGAGACCACATGGAGAGACTGACTACAAGATGAGAGAGAAAGAGATGCCTGATTTTCACGTTCCCAGCTGGTCGAGACATCCCAGTGGAGGCCACAGACATCACAGAAACAAGTCATTCCTGCCAGGCTTTCCCAAATTGCAGATGAATGCACAAAAGGACTGATTGTTTTGAATCACTAAATTTTGGAGTGGTTTGTGATATAGCAATAAATAACTAGAACACATTTGGTGAATTGAATTGGATTTTGAAAATGTTACATTGGCTCTGAGACCAAGTAGTAGGAAAAAGATGGAAGTGCCTCAAGGAGACTATTAGTGGAAGCTCAAAGGGTCCCACGGTGAGGATTTGAAGGAGAGTGAAAAATACATTTTTGTAGGATGGAAAAAATTGAGCCTTATTTTATGTAGTACCAAAAAGTTTGGCAATACTGGTGCCCAGGTTAATGTGAAAAATAGACAGCA